TATATATATATTTGTTACATAAATAATGTATTATTTATAAAGTATTAATTATCAGACCATAAACTTAAAATAAATAGCTTATATACAAGCCTACCTTCCTATGTCATCTTCCCCAGCTTCCTCATAGAATTGCTGGCAGGATAGTTAGACCAATGTTTTTCTTTCCTTATGTTGAGAGTGATTCTGTTGCCCAGAAGAGGGCTGCTAGATTAATATCTTTCAAGTCCTTTGTCATCTTGATCCTCGTAAACTAGGTAAAACATTTTGTCCTTTCTCCACAGAGAAGAGATTTGTATTGGTTGCCTGTTTGTCAGTCCTGAAGGCAATATTCCTTTTGTTACCCACAGAGACAAAAATAAAATCATCAGCAATTCTATAAGACATACACATACACCACTCATTTTTTTAATATAAATACAAATATATTGATATAATGGCTATTAAATGGTCTGACATATCTGTCATACAGCATCAAAGCCAGATCTTACCGCTGCCTATTTAACAAGCCACATGTGTCCAGGATTCCTAAAAAAAAAAATTGAGGATTTTTATCTGCATTACAGAGGAGTTTTGAGGATTAATTACTTACTGTTGCTACAGTGCAGTGAAGATGCAAGATGCTAAGCATTGCCAGGGCATTTCTGCAGCTTGAAAAAGCAGAGAGCACCACAGCACGAAGAACAAACAACATACTGTTGTTCTAGCTCTCTTGCCTTCAACAAAGCCCATAGGAAAGTAGGGAATTTTCAGGCTACTGAATTAAGGAGCGGCAGTTTAGAACTGTTTTGTTTGTGGGGTTTTCTCCCAAAAGATAAGGAAGTTTATGAAGAAAATTGCTTAAGGTTCACAGTAGTTTGTAATCTGGATAGCACAGGGAATTTAGGCAATACTGTTAGGGATGATTCTGTGATATAAATGGCAGCTTTTAAATGAGTCCTGTTAGATTTATCAAATCAAAAATAAATAGACTTGTAGCAGCCTTTCCTTTTTAAAGCAGAAACACACAATACTGATAAGGATTTATACTAAAGTTTTGACAGATCTCACATATAGCTATTAGGGAGACCAGGATACTTCTCAGCCAAAGAGCTCATTTTATGAAAATGTGCATATAATTCTGCAATGCCTCATGTATCAACGGACAACTACTCTTTATACACACAGTTAGTGCTGCAAGACTTTTCACTGCTTGGTCCCCAAACTCTCCCTCCACTCTTACAATCCACCAGCCATGGAACACTAGCGATGTTGCAAGGGGCATTACAGACCATCTCAGCAAGAGGAGGTGTAGCAGATGAGGCGTTCTGCAAACAACTGGCATAAGTATGTAATAAATAGGTAACTCGAGCAAGCAGTCCAGCAACTGTTACAGAAAACCAT